AAAAAAAAAAAAAAAAAAAAAAGGGGAAGTGGTAAATTATCTTAATGCACATAGAGTTTAAGCATAATTTTTTTGTAGAAAAAAAAATATATTCAGTATTTTTTATATGAAAAGTTTATGTCGCTAAGTCTAAAAATGCTTTTTTTCTGGTTTATTTGGTCGTTGTTTGGTTGAACAGTTCAGAACACAGAATAATAAGCCGGCTGAACAAAAAAATAAAGAAGCTGTAGGGAGGGGTAAGGAATTATGGAGAGCGGCAGAAATAGCATCCAACAACAGCAGTGGCATCAGTATAGGCAGTAGCTGAAGTCAAAAATAAAAAACGGTAGAACAGAAGTAGCGTATTGATCTTTGTTGTTTAAAATAAGCATAAAAAAACGAAGAGGAAAAGAGGAGCCCTAAATGAAGCCTTACAAAGTCATAAAGCTTTTTTTCTTTTAATTTTCTTTTTTTTTTTTTTATTTTTCGCTCTTTCCGTGTGTGGTTTGGCTTCATTTGTTTTAGCCATTTTTGGAAAAAAACAAATGATTTTCGGCGTAACCAAAAATTTTATTGACAGGTGTTCTGAAAAGGGAAGAAAAAAAAGTAATAATAATAATAATAATAATAATAATAATAATTTTTGATATAAACCTAAAACCTATTGCTATTCATAAATTTTAAAATTATCTGACAGTACAACAACAATATCACCGGGTCTCAATTCTTTTTTTTTTTTTTTTTTTGCCTAATGTTCCAAAAACATTGGCATTATTTTTTTTCCTTTTTATCATTGTTTTTTTTCTTTTTGTTTTCAGCGATGATTTTGGTTTTAAATTTCACAAATATTTTAAATTTTGTGTTAAGGAGCAAATCTAAAAAAAAAAAACATCACTTTTGTTCTTAGTTTTTGATGAGCTTTTCTTACTCTTTTTTTTTTCATTTTATTTTTTGCTTTTTTTCCCTCTTCCGCTTTCTTCTTTTTTTTTTTTTTTCTATTTCTGCTCCTTCTTTCTCCACATTTTTTCCCTAAATATTGATTGTTGTTGCTGTTGTTTTGATAGCAGTTACTGTTTTAGTCAAATACAAAGTAATAATATATTCAAAGAATTAAATAATCTATTTTGCTTTGCTGTTTCTGTGTGCTCAACAACAAATTTGTTTACTCGTTGTTTACTTATTGTTTACTTATTGTTTACTTGTTTACTTGTTTATTTGCTCAAATTTTCGCTGTTTATTCATTTGCATTTGTTCAGTTACTCATTTTTTTCAATTGTTCGCCGTAATCGTAAATAAAACTTATAACATTGCTTATGTAA